GGGCGCGCGCGCGTGCTGCCCGGGGGCACGCTGGCCATCCAGGACGCGCGGCCGCAGGACAGCGGCACCTACACGTGCGTGGCCAGCAACGCGGGCGGCAATGACAGCTACTTCGCCACGCTGACCGTGCAGCCCGAGCCGGCCGCCAACCGGACCCCGGGCGAGGGCCGCAACGACACGCAGGCGGCCGCGCGCTTCCCGCTGGACCTCACCACCATCCTGGTGTCCACCGCCATGGGGTGCATCACCTTCCTGGGCGTCGTCCTCTTCTGTTTCCTGCTGCTCTTCGTGTGGAGCCGCGGCCGCGGGCAGCACAAGAACAACTTCTCCGTGGAGTACTCCTTCCGCAAGGTGGACGGGCCGGCCGCCGCCACCGGCCAGGGCGGCGCCCGCAAGTTCAACATGAAGATGATCTGAGGGCCCCGGGGGCCCACCTCCCACTGCCCTCGCCCTGCTGGGCCCGTGGGCTCCGGGCCCCGCCAGCCCGCCGCCTGCCCGTGTGATGACCACCTATGCATTTCCCAGAGGGGGCGGCTGCAAGCCGGCTCCTGGCAGAACTTCCCCTTTTTTGTAGGGACCCAACCACAGGTCTGTTTTTTCATCACGACGCATCTTTTGCAGAGTTTCTCAAGCGTTTTCTAAAGGTTTCACCCTGTGTTCCTGCCCGGGTGTGGTCGCCGAGCTGGGTGGGGTCAGGGCAGGGTCATCAGGCTCGAGGTTCACTCCCAGGAGGCACACAGCTCACACCTGGGGGGATGGTCTACACCCGGGATGCCGCAGAGGGTGGCCTAACCCCGAGGGGAGGGCGCACGGGAAGCTGGCACTGTTCACACCTGGGCAGCCCACATCTCACACCCAGCGCACGCGTGTTCACACCCGGGACACAGTCGGACACGGCTCCAGAGTGGAACACACACGCCTCACATCCAGCTGACACGAGACAGGTGCCCCGGGCTCCAGAGCTCGGCAGGGCACACAGGGCCCTCACACCAAGGACACACGCAGTTCACACTCCATACACACACAGCTCACTCTTGAGACACAGATCACACCCAGATCACAGCCGGGACACACACAGTTCACACTTGGGACACATACTGGTCACGCCCAGGACACACCAGAGACACACCCAGCTCACACTCCACTCAGAACACACCCAGCTGACACCATGACACACTCAGCTCACACTTGAGACACAGATCACACCCAGCTCACACTTGGGTCGCACAATTCACACCAGAGACACACTCAGATCACACACAGCTCACACCTGCGACACGCACAGGTCACACCCAGGACAAGCAGCTCACACTTGGAACACACACGGCTCACACCCAGGACACACCGGCTCACACCCCAGAATGCCCAGTTCACACTTGGGACACACACGGATCACCCCCAGGACACAAAATTCACACACAAGACACACTGGGCTCACATGTGGACACTCAGCTTACACCCGGCTCCAGCTCGGTTGGCCGTCTCCCCCGGGGATCTCGGGGGCTGGGCTAAGGTCAGGCTCGCCCCGAGGGGGCCCTGCACGCCTGGGTGGTCCCTGACGCACCTCCCCCCCAGCAGGACTCACCGGCCCGGCAGGGTGGGCTCCCACTAGGAGAAGCCATCCCCGATTCCTCCACTGCGCCCACGCCACGCAGGAGGGGCAGCTGCCCGGGCCCCGGGCCCAGGAGCGTGGCCTCTGGGGTGCCCGTCTCCAGCAGGCCGGAGTCCACACTAGCCCTGAGCCAGCCCCCTGAACCCCTGCTCCCCAAGGAACAAGAGACCTGAGTGCGGGCCGTCCTCAGGGTCCCTGTTGTGTGCTCCCAGGGCAGCAATGGGGAGCGAGGCCAGGACGGGTTCAGGCTACAGGGAGGCCTGCGTCTGGGTCACGGGAGAAGGTCACAGCGGCATCTTGGTCTCTGCAACTTTGGGGCAGATCTAGGGCCAAAGAGGAGGGGGGTCACAGGCCGACTGCAGCTCAGACTAAGGAGGAGCTTCCCCAAGGTCACGGTCCCGTTGCTTTTCAGAGAGTGAGCTCCCCGTCACTGGGGGTGAGCAAGCAGGAGCTGAGGTTCTGTAGAATTATTCAGACAGCAGACAGGGACTGCCCGTGACCGTGCCTCCCCCAGCCTGGTCCTCGCCCCCACTCTCTACCTCGGCTAGATGACAGGGCATCATTGGGAGAAAGGGGTACAGGAAACATTGTGGGGCCCGACCTCGGCCGGAAAAGAGCTTAGCCGCCGACCAGAAGATTAGGACCGTATTTTGAAGGACCTTGTAGGAAGGCTCAAAGCCGCTCTATTCCTGCCAGGCTGTGTAATCCCAGTTGGTGACTGAGGACTACCTGGACCAATGGTGTCCTCATCTGTAGAATGAAGGTCAAACCCATTGCTACGTATGTAGAGGCCCCTGGACGGGCTTGATGGTCGACCTGGATGCTGGATCCTTCAAGATCTTTCTGAGATGAGCCAGAGAGAAAGCTGGGTCAACCCTGGAGGTTTTGGGCAAAGGATTCAGACAGAACTCAAAAGAAGACACGGGCCGTTCTCCCTGGGCGGGGACCCTGCCCCAACCCCACTCATGGCGGGACGTAAGTGAGGGCCGAAGGGGGCGTCCAGTGGCCCCATCCATACTCCATCCAAGTTGGGCAGAACTGACTCGTTTTTTCCCCTTAGCATCTTCCTGACTTTGGTTGCCATGACAACCCCGAGGGCCCCTCAAAGCAACATCCAAGTGCCTTTAGCATCATCACCACGGGAGGGGGCGTGTTCTTGGCAGCGTTATGACTTAAGGAACGTCGGCATATTGGGATCTCCCAGCCCCCCTCTGCCCGCCCCCCCCCCGTCCCAACATGAACCAAGACCCCACCAGGCCCCACCCCCACCTTGCTGTATTTGATCAGAACCCAATAAAAGTGAAACCGATTTAATAACAAACTTCAGATTTTTTTTATAATTCTCATGGGAGACGTGGGGGCAGGAAGTAGGGGCTGCTCAGGTCCCCGAGGGCAGCTTCCCGGCTCCAGCCCCAAAGCTGACCCTAAGTCATGAGGCATTTGTGGAGAGAGGGTGACCCGTGGTGATAGTGTTAGAGGTCACACTTCAGGAGTGCCCACGCTGTTCCCGATGCTGTTCCCTGCACTGCCTGTATTAACTCCTTTCACGCTGATGACAATGCTGCGAGCTGGGTCCTGTTATGATCCTATTTTGCAGGTGAGCAAAGGGAGGGTCAGAGGATGGAGGGCATCTGCCCGGAGTCCCCAGCTAGGAAAAGGTGGGTGCTGAGAAGGGCTGGGGGGTGGGGTCTCTCCTCTGCTGAGGGGGTCCCATCCGCCTCCCTGCCTCTGAGGGCTCTGGGGAAAAGCAGGCAACCCTGGGCGCTGGAAGTAATACTGATAAAGCACTTTATCCTCACTCCAACCCCCAGTGATGGATGGGGAAACTGAGGCACGGAGCCCCGTGTCAGGGCTCACACCCCACTGGCCCCTGAAGGCCTGGGCTCTTTCTGGAAGGAGGTGGACCGAGCCAGGGTGGTCAGCAGAAGCCATGGCCGAGGGCAGCCTTTCACTTGCCACCCCAGTGTGGCTCTCTGAGCCTCGGTTTCCCCATTTGAACCTAGGAAGAAGGCTCCCTTCTGTCTATCAGGATAGGGACGTGTCGGGGGCTGTGGGGACCCCTCTGTGCTGGGGCCATGGGACCCTCCCCTGGGGTCTCATCCCCCTCTTCTTCCTGTAGCAAAGGCAGGCGAACGATGGCCTCGTGTGCCTCAGTTTCCCCATCCGCAGGGGCTGCCTGCGTCCCTCGTTCAAACCAGGTACAAGATCCAGCATTTTTGAGTCCCCTCTTATTCTTGGGGTGCGGCCGAGGGGTCCTCCTTCCTTGGCCGCCAAGCCCAGCTGAAGGGGGACCCGTCCCGCTGGTTGCCGGAAACCCAACGAGGAGCCCCTCAGAGGGGTCTTTATGGAGTCCCCCAAAAACACAGGACGGGGGCCCAGCCGTCGGCACATCCTGGGCTCGGGGGGGGGGTGGCGAACATCCCTGCCTTGATTTCCCCTCCCAGGTGGCGCTGGAATGGTGTACAGGGTCCCCCTAGCCCACCCCTGCAAACTCAGGCGTCTCGACCCCCATCTTCCAGGCACAGACACACTTCCTGTGCATCTCCCTCTCTCTGCATGGCCTTTTCCAGATGATTCCGTGATAGGAATAGCTGAGCAAATCAGCCTCCCCTCCTCCCCTCTTTCCCCCGGACGGGGGCACAGCGCCCACCTGCGAGCTACTGCTTGTGGTCCGGGGTCCCCAGCCCCAGGTGCTGTGCGGCCAGGGGGAAGCTGCTGTCCCTCTCTGGGCCCCAGTTTGCTCCTCTACAAACTGGAGGACTTTTGTCGTCTTTCGTGCAGGACACTGCACGAGCTGCCCCGTGTCACTATCCGCAGGTGCTGGACCCTGACAGCTTTGGGGGCCGTAGCTCTGCCGTAAGCACAAAAAAGGAGGCATGTTTTTCAAAGTCAGGTCATCTGACATCGTGTCCCGTTCCGGGCGACACCAGGGAGGCAGAGAGCCGGCCCCGGCTCCGCAGCATCAGTAAACGCTCGTCGAATGGAAGAACAGCTTTGGGGGCTGGGGAGGGCCTGACCCTGGGGCCAGGTGGCCGGGTGGGGTGGACACGGGGGTGACTCACATGTTGATGGCCATTTTTGGGGTGAGCTGAGGCAAGAGGTCCCCATTTCTCAGCGGGGTGCTCGGCACATCGGGGATGCTGAGCAGGTGTCAGCGGGCCACTCTGCTCTCCCCTCCTGCACAGGGCCCGGGGGTCCGCTCCAGGGAGGGGCCAGCCCGAGGCAGGCAGGGGGACCCCATCACCAGCTGCCCGCCACCCTGGAGACGTCACCCCTTGTCCCAGCCTGGACTCTCTGCCCGCCTCCCCACCCCGCCCCGGGCTTCTGCAGCAGGGCTGGGCCCCAGACGGGTGAAGGGGGCGCTCATCTTGGGAATGAAATGTTAGGGGGCACCCAGAATTCAGCCATCACGACCAGCACTCCATAAACGAAATGACTTGAGGCCCCAAATCCACGATGAGCAAAGGATCAACCTAAATACAGACGGGATCCGAGCTGCCCGGGCACGGCCCAGCCTCGCTCTCCACACCCTCATCCTGGCCCTGCTTCCAATAAAACTTTATTGACAAACACAGCCAGCCGGCCCGGGGGCCACAGTTTGCCAATTAGATTTCTTTTTTTAATGTTACATTAAAATATTATTTATCTTGATCCCTGGGGGGGGGGGGGTCTTTGGCATCACCTTGAATTCTGTGCCTGAGCTGGGTGCCTGGCACGCCTCACCCTCATCCGGGATCAGGGCGGTGGCCCAGCTGGATGACCCCACAGGGTCTCATGAAGGGAAGAACAAGAATCACATCAGCAGGGCTTCGGCAGTGAGGAGGCCGTGTCCTCAGCACCTCTGTCCCTTCTGTTCCACCTGGAACAGCCCAGGATTTGTGGGATCCATCCCTTGTGTGATTCAGACTCTTCCTGGAGCCCACCCGTCTCCCGCTGCACAATCCTGAAATCCACCAAAGCCACGGGGCACCCCAGGTACTAAAGACAGAGGGCGTAAATTCTATGAATTCCGCAAAAGACGAAATATAGGAGCCAGTTTTGGACTTTCAAGCCGGAGGTGCCTCGGGGGGTCAGCAGAGGGTCAGCGTTGCCCAGAATGTCACAGAGGACGTTCACAAGATGGATTAGTCTCCTTCGCCACCCCCGGGGATTCTGGGGAGGACGGGGCACCCCGCAACGAGCCCGTGGATCTCTCGCCCCCGCCCGGACCTGCTGTGTGACGCCACGTGGATTCCCTATCCTCTCTGGGCTCATTGCCCCTCAGGGAAACAGGAGGGGCTCCAGACAGGTGGGACAAGCCTCGAGCCCCAGAACAGCTTCGACAGGCGCGTGCTCCAGCTGGAATTGCACGCTGTCTGGTTCCCCCTCGATTTTCACCATTTCTGATGTGCCACGTATGGTGATTACAGATCAAATGTGTTTTCTAAATAAATGCGTTAGGCTCATGGGGGGAGGGAAGCGAAACGATTAAATTTTTTTAAAGAAAAATCCATGGCCGGCCCCGTGGCTTAGCGGTTAAGTGCGCGCGCTCCACTGCTGGTGGCCCGGGTTCGGATCCCGGGCGCGCACTGACGCACCGCTTCTCCAGCCATGCTGAGGCGGCGTCCCACATACAGCAACTAGAAGGCTGTGCAGCTATGACGTACAACTATCTACTGGGGCTTTGGGGGAAAAATGAATAAATAAAAATTATGAAAAAAGAAAAAGAAAAATTCAGCTGGTGTGGCTGTCGCGAGGCAGCGAGTGGGAGCCGTTCTTCGCTGGAGCACAGAGAGGGGTGGTGATCTGCCCCGCGTCACACAGCACGTCAGAACAGAGCTGGGCTTGAACCCGGAGCACAGGAAGGAATTCCATCAGCTCGCAGTCTGAGGGTCCTGCAATGCGGGGGAGGTGGGGGAGCAGACTGGGGGCTCCTGCGATGGCCCCACAGATGGGGAAGTGGTTCTGGAGGAAGCAAAAGCCACAGAGGAAAGAGCCTCTTTGTTACGTTTCTCCCTGAACAGCCATTGCTGGGGGTCCCTGTGCTCCCCAATGGGGGGAGCCTAAAATGTCTCGCTCCCCCCCCATCTCCCCATGCCGCCCACCTGGAATGACCTTCGGGAGCTCAGCTGTCTCCTCCATCTCCCCCCACCCTGGTCTCAGCCCTGGACGTTTATTTTTGAGTCCCACCTCCCAGTCTTTGCTCAGGCTGTTCCCTCTGCCCGGAATGCTGTTCCCACCTCAGAGGGAGGTGGTCTTGTGCGGCCAGGCGGCCGTGGGGAAGTGAGGCAGGGGCCCCCCACCTCCCGCCGGCCTGCGGTCTAACAGATTGCACGGGCGCTTCCGGCTCGCTGCCGGCAACAGGTCAGACGGTCCTGGGAGGAGGCCGGGGCGCCCACTGTCAGAGTCTGTCCCCAAGGATCTCCCCACTCTGCGGTCACTCCAGTCCTGAAGGTAGGGGGCTCCTGGAGGGGCTGGGGCAGGGGGTGGGCAGAAGCAGCCACTTTTTGAGGTTGGGGGGACCTGGAGTTGGTGGGGGAGAGATGGGGGCCGGGCTGCTGTCAGCTCGAGGGGGCTGAGCCCTGGGGACGAGGCCCAAGTGTGGGCCCCTGGGTATTGTCGCCCAGCCCAGCTGTCCCCCTGGTGGCCTGCCCTCAGGGCTGGACACTCTGTCCGTGTCTGGAATGGGTGACATTCCAGAGCCCAGAGAGGGCAAGAAACCCACCAGGGCCACACAGCAGGGTCAAGGCTGGGCCAGAGGAGCCAGGTGTGCAAGGTTGACCCCCTTAGGTCCCTGCACGCCCACCCATGGAGCGCTCATGGACACCCCGCATGTGCCCACCTATGCATGCCCCCCCGCTCTGCCCTCCCTCAGCAGCATGAGCAGCCCCGAGCCACCCTCCAAGACCCCGGGGCCCGACGTCCCCACCTGGCAGACTCAGCCCACGTACATCAACCTCGGTGAGCCGCCGAGCGGGGGCCCCGGGCTGGGGGGGGTGGCGTCCAGCAGGACCTCGAGGTGGCTGGAGCAGAAGGGCCGAGTCCCTCATTGCCATTTAAGGAACTTCTGCCTAATGACAGTTTAACTTCATGACATTAGCTGTTTTACTGTCAAAATTTGTTAAAAAGAAGCCAGAATCACCAGCTTGTAAAAACGGGGAGATCCGAATTCAGAGAGGTGTGGTCACCTGCCTGGAGCCACACAGGGAAATGGGGGTCACCTGGGGCTGGGCCAGAAGCTTCTCTGCCACGGACTGGGCACCTCTGGGAGCCTCAGTGTTCTCATCCGTAAAGTGGGGGCAGCCCTCCCCCACAGACCACAGGGCGGAGGGTGTTAGCATGATACCCGCTTTGGAGATGGGTAAATCAAGGCCGAGGGGTGCAGTCGTGTGCCCGGGACCCCCCGCACGTCCTCACGCCCCCGGCTCTCCCTGCAGGTGAGGTCCGTGCCCACCTGCTGCCCTCCAAGGCTAGTCGCTCCCGGACGTCAGAGTCCCTCTCGGCCGACCCGCAGCCCGCGCCCCCGCCCCTGCCCAAGAAGACGTTGCTCAGGACGAAGTCCCTGCCCACCCACAGGGCCCCCAGCCCCGCGCCAGCAGACCAGCCTCGGAGGCCCCTTCTGGGGTCCTTCAGCGTGGACGAGAGCCAGGCGTGCGACGACAGGGCCCGGCCAGCCTGTCCCCCCGCGGAGCTGCCCTTCAGCTCGCTGGGCCTCTCGGTCCACGACCTGCAGTGCCCCGAGGCCGTGTGCGCCGAGCTGGAGGCCCGGCAGCTGGTGGGGCTCAGCGCCGTGCACGCCCGCCTCCGGGCCCGGCTGCTGGGGGGCCACCCGGGCCCCTGCCACACCCGCCACAGCTTCCGCCTGCTGGACCATGTGCCCAGCGCAGACGGCGGGGACGCGCTTTACTACCGCGTGGTGCGCAGGGACGACGACACCTGGCACGTCCTGGCCGCCAAGGTGAGCCCGCGGTGCCCCACAGCCGCCGAGGTGCCCCAACATCCCGACTCGGGCATGACCCTTGACACTTTCAGCCCCGGCCTGACTGCTTGTGCAACTAACTCGCATTAACACAGTCGGCCCTGGGGCCGCATCTCTAAAGTGTGGGGCCACCTACATTCAAATCCCCCAGGGAGTCTGGCTAAGGGCCCCTCCCCACACCTCCCAGGGGCCCAGGAATCTGCATCGTCACTCCCCCCGCAGTGAATTCGGGCGCTAGAAAGCCACTGGGTTCACCAGCCACGGGCGCTGACAGCTACCACTTAATAATCAACCACCACCAAAACGCACTGAACACGTCCTTTGCATCCCGTGCTGTTCTAAGGACTTTTAGACGAAGTTATTTATCTAATCCCCACGCCGACTTGACCATGCCTGTATCACCATGTTTCATCACAAGATGCTTCTGTTTTATGTACCGCTAAGAAAAAAGATTCCCATTAAATAACCGGCAGGCGTTAGACGCATCCCCACTCTGCAGGGACGGCGGCAATTTGACAGAACGCGCTCTTTCAGCCTGTTTTACAGAGGGGCGCAGGGAGGGAGGAAGTCGATGCTGGCTGTGAGTGCTTTAGGCGACGGCTCCAGCCTGGCTCTGTCTCAGAGGCCCCCAGGGAGTTTATTTTTTAAATACCCCCCCCCCAGAGCACCTGTCATTTTTAAACATCCCGTCCCCCCAGGTGATTCTAATGTAATCCCAGACCCGATGCCCACCTGGGCTTCTAGACGAGCTTTGCCGTCCATGCAGCCACTGGCCGTGCGTGACTTCTGAGCAGTTGAAACAAGTCTGGTCCCAATCCAGACGCGATCTGGGTGTCCAATATACACCCATCTCAAGACTTAGTACCAAAAAATAATATTAATGTAGGACATGTCATTAATATTTTGTGTATTGATGACCTGTTGAAATGATAACATTTTGGATCTATCGGGTTAGATGAAACATAAAATTTACTTGCACCGTCTTTCACTTTTTCAATGTGGCTACTGGAAACTTGTAAATGACACAGTGGCCCCCGTTGTATTTCTATTGGACAGCCCAGCTCTGGCACGTCAGCTGTCACCTCCCCCTTTACCGAGTGGTCAGAACCCGTCCCCTTGGGCGGGCTGGAAAGTCTGACCCCTAAACACCATCCTCCCTGGGGCAGTTCTCCTTAAAATCATGTTAGGGACTAACATCCGAATTAACATCTCACTCCGGTTTCTGGAGGCGATGCAGTCCGCCCGGCAAAGCCGAGTGGGGTGGCCGGGAGGGTGTCAGGGCAGGTCGAGCGGCTGGGGCAGGCTGTGCTGGTGGGGGGCTCCGCGGTCAGGCGCTGATGGCCCCCTCTGCCTCGCAGGTGCCCAAGCCGGAAGCCGAGACGCCCAACCCGTGGGGCCTGGAGCTGCAGGCCTCGCTGGCTCCGCATTTCAACCTCCAGGGCCTGTGTGGCCTGGCGCCCGAGGGCGCGGTGCTCAACGCGCCTTGGAGAGGCCCCGTGGCGCTGGCCGCCGAGGTGCCGGAGCGCACGGTGACCCAGTGGCTGGCGGAGGAGGGCGCGCAGCGGGGGCCGGCGGACTTGGCGTGGGCGGTGGCCCTGCTGCTGCTGCAGCTGAGCGCGGCCCTGGAGCACCTGGAGGCGCAGGGCGCCGCGCTGGCGGAGCTGCGGCCCGAGAACCTGCT